CAAGAGGCTGAGATCTGAGGATCATGATTCGAAGCCAGCCTGGGCAGGAAAGTCTTTTACCTCCAATTAACTACCAAAAAGCTGGAAGTGGAGCTGTGGCTCAAGTGGTAGAGCACTAGTCTTGAGCAAAAAAGTTCAGGGATAACATACCGACGATGGCTGGGAAGGTGGCTCAGTGGTAGAGCGCTTGCCTTGCATGCCTGAGGCCCTGGGTTCGATTCCTCAGCACCATATAAGCAAAAAGAAAAAAAAGCCGGAAGTGGCGCTGTGGCTCAAGTGGTAGAGTGCTAGCCTTCAGCTGAAGAGCTGAGGGACAGCGCCTAGGCTCAGAGTTCAGGCCCCACGACTGGACCCAACAAAACAAAACAAAACAAAACAAAAAAAACCACTCCGACGTTGAGTTCAAGCCCCAGGACCAGCAAAAAAAGAAAAAAGAGGCTGAGGATCCTGGTTCAAAACCTGGGCTCAGTGAAAATCTTACCTTCAGTTAGCCAGCACAAAGACAAAAGTGGTGTAGTAGTTCAGGCATGACCCAGCCCTGAGTGAAAAAACCAAGTGAGATCACAAGGCCATGAGTTTGTCTCAGCGCCTACGCGTGCATACATACACACACACACACACACACACACACACACACACACACACACACGATTCAAGGATATCAGGGAAACAAAAACCAATAGATGTGTTCACAGGGATCATGTCCAGAAAAATGGGTTAAAATTCCAATTTCAGCACCAGATGGTTGAATGTCAATGCACTGTGCTTCATTTAGAGATACTTCCTCTGTATATTACATAAAAGAACAATTAGCTCCATCTGCCATGAAATTACTCACTGATGTACAGTGCTTAAGCTTTACTTCCTGAATGACTGTGTGTGTGTTGGTATTAGTGTTTGAATTCAGGGCCTAGATGCTGTGTCTGAGCTCTTTAACTCAAGGCTAGAGCTTTACCACTTGAGCTACATCTTCACTTCTAGCTTTTTTTTTTTTTTTTTTTGGAGTAGTTTATTAGAGACAAGAGTCTCACAGTTTCCTGCCCAAGCTGGCTTTGAACTGTTATCCTCAGATCTCAGACAAAAAGGGAAAAAAAAAGAAAAAAGAAAAAGAAAGAAATATTAAAGATACAGGTTTAAACCGTAGCACCACCAAATAAGCTGATGAAAGAACTGCATCCACTGGATGAGGGGTGTGCAATATATAATTCAGGTGGGTACTATGGACATTATTTGGCATAGCTTCTCTGTCACTGTTTTGTTTACTTGACAGCTTGTGCTGTCATGTCTGGAGTTAAAGGCTCTGCCACTCTCTCTCAATGGCTATTTGTGTTTGGACACTTTAGCCAAGCCATGTGCAGCAGGTGTGGCTGGAGTTCTGCCTGGATCTCCTTGACTACTACTATCAGTGTTGACTGCTAAAGTGACAAAATACTGAAGAACTTATGCCCTCCCCCTAAAGGTGGCCTCCAGCCACTACTGATTGATGACTATGGGGATACATCATTGCTTCTTGGGGGATGGCAGATAACTCCATAGGCCTCTTACTTGGCATATCCTACCAGGGGACCACCCTGAAAGTAGGCTTGCTTAGCTCTGTCTCCTGCTCCACCTTGTTTCTCTTGTTCCCTTACAGATTTCTTCTGAGAGCACAACTCTAATAAATTGCTTGAACCAGAATCTATCCATAAAATCCTCTTATCCAAATTGGAGAGCTTAGTCACACTGAAACAGAATCATGTCTGTGATACTACTACTATGAACTTAAGTACCACTTAATATTTTACCATTGTTCAAAACCTGAAATGGCTTAGATTATTCAAAGAGGAAAAGCCAGTTTCTTTTTTTGTGGTCAGTACTGGGGTATGATCTGAGAGCCTCCCATTTGACCACTTTGACAGCTCATTCCCCACCCCCCATCCCCAATCCTGGGGCTTGAACTCATGGCCTGAGTGCAGTTCCTGAGCTTTTTTTTTTTGTTGTTGTTGTTTGTGGGGCTTGAACTCTGGGCCTAGGTGCTGTTCCTCAGCTATTCAGCTCAAGGTAAGCGCTCTACTACTTGAGCCACATTACTACTTCTGGTTTTCTAGTGTGAGATAAGAGTCTCATAGACTTTCCTGCCCGGGCTGGCAATCCTCCTGAGTAGCCAGGATTACAGGTGTGAGCCACTGGTGCCTGGCTTCCCTGAGGTTTTTTGCTCAAGGCTAGCACTCTACCATTTGAGCCACAATTCTACTTTCAGACTTGTGGTCATTAATTGGAGATGAGTGTCACAAATTTCTTGGTTTGGCTGGGTTAAAACTGTGATCTTCAGATCTTAGTCTCCTGAGTAGGTAGGCTTATAGGCATGAGTCACTGAGGCCCAGCTAGGGGTTTCATTTTGTTTTGCTCAAAGTTGGTCTGATGCCTACACTTGAATTGTAATTCTCTCATTACTGTTGCTCAAGTAGCCAGAAATACAGCTTGAACCACTATGCCTCCCATGGAAAAGTTAACTTCTTATTATGGTCTACAGTACATAGTACAGTCCCTCATTCTTTCCTTTGTCCTTTATCATTTTATTTTGTGTGTAATTGCCACATTGATCTCCTTGAATGGCCTGCCTTAGGGCCTTCACACTTGTTGTTGCTATGTTTGGGATATTCTTCCTCCTGGTAATCATGTCTTCTTTCTTTAAATCACCTCCCTAGGGGTCTTCTACGAAGTAAGTAGTACGTGTTATGTGACCTCATGTCACGCAATGAGTTCAATAATATAAATCTAATGTCATAAATAAGCTGGGCACAGTGACATACACCTGTAGTCCCAACTACTTGGGAAGCTGAGGCAGAAGGATTACTTAAGCCCAGATATTTGAAACCAGTTGGGGCAACACAGTGAGACCTTGTTTCAAAAACAAACAAGTTAATCAAGCTAATGAAAAAGCAAGCCCAAAGCTGGGCTCTGGTGGCTCACGCCTGTAATCCTAGCTATTCAGGAGGCTGAGATCTGGTTCAAAGCCAGCCCAGGCAGAAAAGTCCGTGAGACTCTGATCTCCAATAAAACCACTAGAAAACCGGAAGTGGCACTGTGGCTCAAGAAGTAGAGCGCTCACCTTGAGCTGAAGAGAGCAAGGACAGCACCCAGACCCAGAGTTCAAGCCCCACAACCAACAAAAAAAAAACCCAAAACAAACCTCCCCCCCAAAAAAACCACAATAGTAAGCCCACTCCACTTTCATTCTTATGCTGTTCCAACTTTCTTTTTAGTACTATTATGTACACTTCCTATAGTGTCTGTACACTGATGATTCAAAAGTAAGAAATTCATTGTATACTAATGTGTTAAGAACAGAACTTGTTCCATAGTAGGTCCTCAGGAAATATTTAAAAATTGAATTCTTTGCACTGAAGCCAGTGATATTTTGAAACACACATCTGGCCAGATCACTCGTTTAAAACTCTTAAACTGTTGATTTGCATTATTTTCATAAGTTAAGAATCTTAGCTGGGTGCTGCTGGCCCCGGCTTGTAATCCTCAGGAGGCTGATACTTGGGGATCATGATTCAAAGCCATCCCAGGCAAGAAACTCTGTGTAAGAACTACCAAAACTCCAGAAATGGAGCTATGGCTCAAATGGAGCTATGGCAGAGTGCTAGCCTTGAATACAAAAACTCAGGGACAGTGCCTAGACCCTTAGTTCAAGCCCCAGGACTGAAATCCTTACCACAGCCTCTAACACTATGCTTGGTGGGTTCTGATTTAGCTCTTTAGACTTATCTCATAGTTCCTTCTTGTTTCAGTCCCTAGGATTCTCTTAGTTCCATCTTAAGGTCTGTATATGCTTTGCCTTACTTTTCTCTCATTTCTGGGACTTTCCTGCCTGGCTGGCTTTAAACTGCAATCCTCAGACCTTAGCCGCCTGAGTAGCTAATAGGCATGAGCTACCAGCGCTCAGCCATTTTTTAATCTTGGTACCTGTATTAGGTTAGGTCTCATATATTTTGTGCTTTTATGGTAGAACTTTGGTATCATCAGTAATACTTTTTGGATCATGAAATTATTTTTTTGTGACTGTCTCCCTAACCAGACAGTCTCATAAAACAAAATGAACCCCCCAGCTCTCTAATTTTTTCCCATTAAATCCCTAGCACTTAAGACTGGCATACAGGGCTGGGAAGGCGGCTCAGTGGTAGAGTGCTCTTTTCCCTACTGGGGCTTAGGACTTTTGGCTTTTCTTTATCTGTTTTGCTCCAGATTGGCACTCTACCACTTAAGCCATGCCTCCACTTCCAGCTTTTTGCTGGTTAATTGGAGGTAAGTCTTGAGGATTTATCTGGCTGAACTGGATCCAAATTAAGAGTCTCAGATCTCAGTTTCCTGAATAGCCAGGAGTATAGCTGCAAGTAACTAGAGTCTCGCTAATTTCCTAGTTTTAATTATTCATTATAAGTAAAATGATAGCAATCGGTAAAAGCAAGTGATTGATAATACAGAAGAAAAATAATATATATTACAATATATTTAACACATCATATGTATAATGTAAAATAAATATATATGTAGCCTAATGCAAAAAGCAAGTGATTGATAATACAGGAGAAGAAAAATAATATATATTACAATATATTTAACACATCATATGTATAATATAAAATAAATATATATGTAGCCTAATGCAATTTTATATGCATAACATATATTCATATATACTTATTCTACATGGGCACATTTCTATAGGTTTGAAAGGAGTTAACCAAAAATTTAAAAAATGCTAACATCACACATACACACACACACACACACACACACACACACACACACACACACACACACACCACCCCATTACTAATAAAACGATTTGACTGGAAAGTAATAGCCTATTTTAAATGGTTGAACTAATATTTCCAGAGATCTGTAGAAAATAAAACAAAGACAACTGGATTTTGTATAAACCAAAGCAATGAGTCTTAGCTATTAAGAATTTTTTCATTTATTAATACATTAAACTATGAAAGATTTGTTATGAAAAGACCAAAGATGTAGAAATTTACCTCATTTCCCCAACTGAGTAAATATTTACAAAATTTTCGTTCAGCTATTAATATGTCCCCAGAGTTGCTAATGCATACACCTGGGGGCATCCACGTGTCAGAATATTCCATAAAGATCTGAGAACACAAATTTTTGACAAGAAGAAACTTTTAATAAGCAGGGAAAGATTGCTCACAAGATAAGTCAGGGTGACATCTTTTTTTTTTTGGTCATGGGGCTTGAACTCTGGGCTTGGGTGCTGTCCCTGTGCTCTTCAGCTCAGGTCGAGCACTCTATCGCTTGAGCCACAGCGCCATTTCTGGTTTTCTAGTGGTTTTATTGGAGATAAGAGTCTCACGGACTTTCCTGCCCGGGCTGGCTTTGAAGCTCGATCCTCAGATCTCAGCCTCCTGAGTAGCTAGGATAACAGGCGTGAGCCACTGGTGCCCAGCTATCAGGGTGACATCTTAAGTTAGGAACTCTTTGTAATGACAAATGTCATGACATACTTTGCAACATTCTTGGCAGCATTCAAATCACCTATGACATTATGGACAAGTGGAATAGTTCCTCCCCACCCCCAAAGAGATGGCAAATTATGAGAGGAAGTTAAAATTCAGAGTTCTAAAATGGTTCTATACTGCTCTGTGTTAAAGTATATTTTCATACTAAAAACCCAAAAGCCAATATAGAAATTGGCTTGGTTGGATACTGGGCACTTCACCTATACTTTTCTTGAAATATCAAAGGAAGCTGGGTGTAGTGGGTCTTGTGTATAGTTTCAACACTAAGCTGAGGCATGATGGTTATTTGAGCTCAGTTTGAGCCAGCCTGAGCCCCATCCTCAAAAAAGAAAAAAAAAAGTAAAGCAGCCTGGTATTAACAAAATGTAGAATGCAGGGTCAGAAAAATCTGCGGTCAGGTTTTAGTTTCTCCAGCTACTAGTTTTATTACCTTGGGCAGGTCACACTCTTCATGAACTTCAATGCCTTTTTCAGGTAAATGGGCATAATAATATCTGATATGTCTAATAATATCTGCTGTGTAAAAAGCAGATAATAACTGTTAGTTTCCTTACATTCCCCACACCCCAAATAAATACTGCAAAATATGTTTGGCTGCATGAGCCAAAATAATTTAGTTAAGTAGTAAACTGAAAAGGGCAAGAGAGTCTAGTATTTTTCAGATAATCTTACATATTAACCAATTAGTATGTAATAACCATTGGGTTTACTAGCATAATTCAGGCACCACATTAATAGCTAAACAGATCCTCTCTTCAAATAGGTCTTTAATTTTGTCTTGAGGTGATTGAGCAGAATATGTCGTTAATTCTTGTCTTCAGAGCATAACACAATATAATCTGTTAGGAAGATCAAGCTTTTCCTGGGTTCAAGTAAAAGTGTTAATGCTTACTCTGGGTCCAGGAAAAAACAGTGATATAGGCAGAGATATAGTGAAAGGTTAAAGAATGTCTCTTAAGGCTGATGAGTATACTTATTGTCTCTTGAACAAACAGTATTAGTGCCAAATCACCGCTCTCCATGAACTAGTCATGTTGAGCACGTCTTTGATATCTTAGAGGGTGTGTGCATCGTGCTAACTACCATAGAAGACTTTAAAGATAGGATCTTAACGTGGAATCTGTGGGCTTCATCAGAGGTTTCCGGAACCTACAGTCTGTATATGGAATTGCGTTTAAGTACATCTTGTGCGTTTTTCTCGAGAGGCTGCTTAATTTTCTCTCATTAGTCTTCTCTAGCCTTGTTATGCAGTTTAGAGGTCTAGCCTACAAAATACGTATCTACCACTGTTTCCTGTAGAGCCTTACTTCACTCTTTCATTACCTGGTGTCTATTTGAGTCCATCTACCGCACTAAGAAGGCAAGGCAGCTTGGCAAGAGCAGGCTTTGGAATTTTCCAGCGCCTCGAACCTGGTGTGTCTGGGACAGATACTTTGGGATGATACTGCCCATCGGTCTTTAATTTTTTTTTTAATTTAAATTAAAGTTTGAGACAGGTGTCTGTGTTGTGCAGGCTTGGAACCCTGGGGCTCTGGCGATCCCCCTGACTCACCCTGCCGAGCGGCGGGGATTCCACTGTGCGCGATCACCTGCCAGATAAAACCCTTTCGTCCCACCCAAGTATCCCCAGGAAGTCACTTCCAAGGTCCGACTTGGGGCAACTCACTCGGGCTCACCTTTTCCCCCACAGCCCGCGCGAACCCTGGCCCACTCACCCAAGACCACCCGCAGGACGGCTCCCAGACCCCCCCTGCGGGCGAAGCCACCAAGGCCTCGCGCACGGAACTCACCGTTCCTGCTCGACCAGGAAAGGAAGGGCGAGGCGGGTCCGAGCGCCGGAGCTGGCCGTCTCGGGCTAGCCGGGGTAGGGCAAGCCTGGCCGAACGTCTCGCAGGGAAGCCCGCCAGAGCGCGGCCGCAGCTCGCGCGGCAGCCCCGCCGGCGGCCACAACTGCTTCCGGGTGAGGGGTCACCGGCCCGGGGCCCCGCCCCCCTCACCCTCCGCCCCCCTCACCCTCCGCCCCTGTGCCGCCGCCGCCCGGACTGAGGCTCATCCCGGGTAGCGTTTGTGCGGTCTCGCCCGCGCCGCGGAGAGCATACCGGTGTGACTGACTAGCCCTCTGAGGGTGCGGGGACTCACTGTCTCCATTCAGCACCCCCTGGTTGGCGGCCTGGAACCGCGTCTGCCCGACGCCGCGCCCCTCTTCCGAAGCTTCCCCTCCCGGCGGGCCGGCGGCGGGCCGGCCCTTCCCGGGCGGCGCTGCTGCCACCGACCGCCTCAGAGACAGGTGAGGGCCGCGCCTCGGTCTGCCGGCGGGAGTCGGGAACTGGGGCCTCGGCTCAGCTTGCGCGGTCCGGGAGACCCCTGCCGTCTCCGACCTGGCTGCGCTGGGGTTGCCCCGAGCCGGATCCCCCCCACCCCCGACCCCCCGGCGGACTCCTGGCCCGGGTCGCCTCGGCCTGCTGCATTCTCGGACCTCTTCTGTCCGCACTCGTCCTCCGCCCAGGGGAAGGTGTTGCTCCCGTTGTGGGGCACCTAGTTGTCCCTCGGTCCCCGAGTCTCGCGGTATTCCTGGCAGCACCCTCCTTGGGTTTGGGAGGAGCACCCCGGGGGATAGAGTGAGACCCGTGTAAGGAGTAGCTGGGGAATCCCCCCCTCGTCCCCCGGTCTCGCTGCCTTCTGCACCCAAACTGAAGCGCGGGCTTCACCCGCTTGCTTGGAAGGTCGGGTTCATCCTTGACTAACACGGAGTTTTATTCCCACCCTTGTCAGGCCTGCTCTCCCTTTGCTCTGTGTACCCAGCAGGAAACAGGAGGATCTAAGGAGGACCCGAGGGAAAAAAAAAGTTTGCTTTATTTGATGTCCATTGTAGGAGATGCACATATCATCTTGCTAAGACACTGGTTAGGGTAACACTCTCTATCCTGCACTTTTATCTGTTTGTATAATTCCCTTTCTTTGCTTTTCTTCCCATTTAGTGACTCAGCGTTTCTGTCATAAACAGAAAAAGTGTAGATTGATTGACTTAAAACACTATGTAAGGAAACAGTGGCTAGAGTGGGAAGAGATGTAATATAGGATGAGGAGATGGAGAGCAAGGTATAGATAAGTAAATTCTTAAATTGTGTTTAGTATTTTTTTCAACGTAACGTCTTATATATTTGAATGGGAACGTGCAATTTTTTCTTTTTTGAGAAAGCAATGTGTGGCAGGTAGAGTTTACTCTACCTAGACTCAAGTATTGAGGAATTCTACCTATTTAATCAACATCATGCTTATTTTAACAAATACAGAGATCATGACCTAGTGTTATACAAAGTAAGAAATTTGGAAAGTGTGATTCATTTAGGAAGTTAGATCATTCACTTTGTGAATCATTGATTTGGATCTTTAAAACTGTGGTAATGAAAGCTGTTTCTGTCTGTATAATTAAATGCCCATACTCATAGAAGTGGTGCAAGTTTTGTTGTATTTGTTGCTTGAAGGTTAAATATGGTAAAGAAATAAAAATTGACAATTTTAATACTATTGGATTTATAATAGTTACAAGTGGATTGTTGTGATTTTAACCACCCCTTTTTGTTACTAGATGTTGGAGATTAGAAGCAAAATAAATGTCAGTGGAAAAGGAGAACTACCATCACTAAGGTATGAAAAAGCTTACTGAAAGAATTGGTCCTATAAAAATAGTCTTCAGAATTTTGCCTGTCTATCCTTAAAAATGTAGAATGAGGTTGGGAGAGGTAGAAAATGCCAGTCTGTAATTCTAGCTTCTTGGGAGGCTGGGATTGCAGTTCAAGGCCAGTCTAGACCAAAAATTCCCAAGACTCCATCTCAGACAGTAAAAGCTGGGTACTGTGGTATGCACCTGTTGTCCCAGCTATGTGGGAAGCGTAAATAGCAGGATCATGGTGCAGGTGGGCCTGAGCCTACATTTGAAACCCTTTTAGAAAAAGTTGAAAAAAAAAGTTTCTGGTGTGGCTCAAGTAGTAGAACACCTGCTTAGCAAGTGTAAAGGTCTCAAGTTCAAATGGAACGATACTTCTATGGAGGTTATGATTTACTTTTGCAATGGGCTAATTTTAAACTAGTAATGATTTTTTTATTGCTAAAATATAATTCCATCACTTTTGGCTTTCAAAATGCTAGACAAAATGACTTTGAAACAGTTCTTTATACTCAGTTTGGTTTTTCTCTTTCAGTATCTAGCTTGTTTTATCTTGATTTATAGTCATAAAGCACTTTAGTTGGTTAATTAAAAATGATATCAAATTTATCCTATATATCTTGCTTATGATATTCCTTTGATTCTTTGACTAAATTTTGGGATTTTTTTTTTTTACTTTGCATATTCCCTTTTTTTTTTTTTTTTTTTAAAGTTGGTTGTGGCACTTGAACTCTGGGCCTGAGTGCTTTCCCTGTGCTCTTCAGCTCAAGGCTAGTGCTCTACCTCTTGAGCCACAGCACCACTTCCAGCTTTTTCTGTTTATGTGGTATTGAGGAATCGAACCTGGGGCTTTTGCATACTAGGCAAGCACTCCACCACTAAGCCACATTTGCAGCCCTGCATATCCGCTTTAATATTCAGAGTGTTCCCTAATGTTTCTTTTGATTTTAGTCCCCCTGATAGGAAACTTAAGAAACTTGATCCAGGCACTTGTGGCTCATGCCTGTAATTCTAGCTACTCAGGAAGCTGAGATCTGAGGATCTCCGTTCAAAGCCAGCCCTGGCAGGAAAGTCAGTGAGACTCTAATCTCCAATGAACCACCAGAAGACTGGAAGTGGCGCTGTGGCTCAAGTGGTAGAGTGCCAGCCTTGAGCTGAAGAGCTGAGGGACAGCACCCAGGCCCAGAGTTCAAACCTCACGATCAGAGAGGGGAAAAAAAAAAAAGAAACTTGAGGTTTAGTTTTCTGTGAACAGAGATCCCTTTTGGAAAATCCTGTATGGAAAACACCATGACTGATAGTCTTAATAGGTAAATATGCAAGGGAAACCTTAGGCCAGCACTTAATCATTTCCATACAAAGAAAAAAAGAGATGCAGAAAATATATTTGGCACAGTATCTCTTCACAAGCAAAAACAAGTTTTTTACTAGAAACGAATTTAGTAGGAGAGGAAGCAATTTCCTGCAAAGCTGTAGGTGAATTGTTTACCTTGTTTCTAAGAGTGAAAAAACAGAGTTGATGAAGTATAAGAAAAAAAAAAAGTTCTCCTTGCTGCCTTTTGGGAATGTTGATGAAGATTAACTTAAAAGAAAAGAAAATTCTTCTTTTTCTTTTTATCTAAGGAGCACTATCCATTGCACCTACAAAATAGAGGCCATTTCATAGTCTTTTCCTTTTAGGTAGTTGCTTTCTCTCTGGAGAATCTGAAAAAAGAAATGCTCTTAACTGGGGAAATGTACTACCTTATCGAGTTTGCCAATAACCTTTATTTAAAACCCAGTATTTAAAATTTCAAAAGAATTGAGCAAAATTTAACTTGAGAGTAAAATAATTTAGTACTTCTCTTCATTTTTCCTTCTAAGACAATAGCTAGATATCTTTGGACTTTGAGCACTGTTTGGAGGGTCTAGCCAAGGAACACAGCTCTTCTAAGAACTTTAAAGAACTATTCTCCACTGTTTGAGAAGGTTGTTCTTTTTTACTGAGTTTGCAGTTTTAGGAGGGACATATGTCGAATGGTGAGAGGACACCAACTTAGCCAGCCAGATCAGCTGAATCAACTTTGGTGGTGGTCAAGAGGGCTACAGATGTCACAGCTGGATCACCCTCACATCTTTGTGAAGAAATATTTTGGAGGTTCTTTTTTTTTGTCTTGGCATGTTCCTTTGCATTTTGACTTTTAAAACCTATTGCCTACAATGAATTAAACTAGATTTGGAAGGAGTCAGACATTAGACTAAAAACTGAGTGAAATATGCTGTTTTCAATAGATATTTGTGAGACTTTTTTTTTTTTTTTTTTTGGTTAGTTGTAGTTGTATCCCTGAGCTCTTTTGTTCAAGGCTGGTGCTCTACCACTTAGAGCTACAGCTCCATTTCTAGTTTTCTGGTGGTTAATTGGAGATAAGAGTCTCATGGACTTTCCTACCCAGGCTGATTTTGAACCATGATCCTTAGATCTCAGCTTCCTATTGAATAGCTAGGATTACAAGCATGAGCCACTAGTGTCTGGTATTTGTGGGACATTTTAAGATGTTAAAGCACTGAAAAAGAGAATAATATATGAAGAAAGATCTTTCCATCACAAACTTGTAGCTTTCTTTACCCCCAGCTCCTAATTCAGTCAATCATTATTATTTCTTGTGTATCTTTCTCCAGTTATTGTATAGTCGTATATGTTTAGAAGTATCCCTTACCTTTCATTCTTTTTTTATTTATTTTATTTTTTATTTTATTTTATTTTTTTGGTCGGTCATGGGGCTTGAACTCGGTTTGGGTGCTGTCCCTGCGCTCTTCAGCTCAAGGCGAGTGCTCTACCGCCTGAACCACAGCGCCTCTTCTGGTTTTCTATTGGTTTATTGGAGATAAGAGTCTCACGGACTTGGCTGCGCGGTCTGGCTTTGAACCTCGATTCTCAGATCTCTGCCTCCTGGGTAGCTAGGATTACAGGCGTGCGCCACCGGTGCCCGGCTCATTCTTTTTTGTTGTTATTGTTGGTTCTAGGATTTGAACTCAGTATGTTGAGTGTTAGGTTGACTTATTTGTTCTGGGCTGGCCTGTATCACTTTAGCAATGCCTCCAGCCTAGATGCTACTACTTAGACAGTAGCCTAGCTGGAGTTGCTAGTTAATTGGAGTCTCCTCAACTTTTTGCCTTGGCTATCTTTAGATCTCAGCCTCCAAAGTACCTAGGATTACAGGCTTGAGCCTCTGAGAGATATTTCTATTATTAGTGTTTTTTTTTTTTTAACATTCTGGATATTCTACCTGGTGTAGAATATTTATTTTTCATGATCTACCATTCTGTATTAACAGACATTTAGATTATTTCCAGCTTTCTGCAAATGCTGTTTGCATTGAATACAAAACTTGTCTGCAGTAGTTTTTAAGAATGTATATGGAGTGTGTGTGTGTGTGTCTGTGTGTCTGTATGTGTGTATGCACTGGTCCTGGGGCTTGACTCAGGGCCTAGGGGCTGTCCTTGACCTTTTTTTGCTTAAAGCTAGCACTCTACCACTTGAGTCACAGCTCCACTTGCAGCTTTTGTGGTGCTTAATTGGAGATAAGAGGGTCATAGACTTTCCTGCTTGGGCTACTTTCTCAGCCTCCTGAATAGCTAGGATTATAGGCATGAGCCACCAATGACCAGCCTGGAGTTGGTTTTTGAATATGTGACTCAGATGGAATATAAGTTGACATAACTATAAAGATTTATTTCAGTTCTATAAAGAACTTTATTTTATAATAGAAGCTAACTTTCTTAGGCTTATATAACAATAAATTCTATTTATTTATTTATTTGTTTGTTTGTTTATAATACTGGCTTTGACCTCAGCCTGTGCCTCCTAGCCAGGTGCTCTCTCATTTGAGCTACTCCTTCTCAGCTTAATTGCCTTAGTTTTTTTTCCAAGTAGGGATCTCCTTTTTGCCTGGGCCAGTTTAGACCTTGATCCTCGCATTTTTACATCTTGTGTAGCTAAAATGACAGGTTTGTACCACCACACCATATTTTTATTGGTTGAGATGACAAGTTTCTGTCTGAACTGGCCCCAAACCACAATCCTCCCAATTTTACCTTCCCATCCAGCTAGGATTGCAAATGTAAGCCATTGTGTCCCCACGTCCCCACTTATTTTTTTGTCTGTCTATTCATCTTTTTATTAAAAATATTGTGAGTTGGATGTGGAGGTATATAGCTGTAATCCCAGTACTTGGGAGGCATTAGGATAGAGAATTCAAGGCCAGTTTGGGCTATATAGCACATAGTGCTATGAGCATGAGCCACTAAATTTTAATTTTGATGTTACAGAGATTCATCGTGGCCGAGAGGAGGTTTGGGATTCTTCTTTCTTTTGAAATGAGAGACTAGAAAAAATAAATGCTGACAGGCTCAAGTATGATGAAGCTGTAACTGTGAGTGGCAGTTTCCCTGGCTGGTGCCCACGATCTATTTTGAGGCCGTGTCAGAAGCTTGCCTTACAAAATCTACCACATAACCATAATCTGGCCTGGCCCTGCTGGAAGTCAGGAAGCTCTGTGGTTTAGGGAAAGTGGCAGCCACAGAAGAAGGAATTTATAAAGACCATTTGCCTTCAGAAAATTAAGTTTTTAGAAGAAAAAAAAATCTGTTTAGTGTGTTTATATCCTGGCATCCAGGTCGTCTTATTTGTTTAACATTGAGGCTTTTGTTTTCCTTTAGCAGGATAGTTAAGGCAAACTTAGAAGGAAAGTTGTTTTTGTTTTGTTTTTTTTTTGAAAATGCCAACAAGGAGTATCATAGGATTGTGCCAATATTGATACTGTGTTCTGGTTACATGAAAGTGCTTGGGAGGGCTGGGAAGGTGGCTCAGTGGTAGAGCACTTGCCTTGATGCCTGAGGCCCTGGGTTCGATTCCTCAGCACCACATAAGCAAAAAGAAAAAAGCCGGAAGTGGTGCTGTGGCTCAAGTGGTAGAGCGCTAGCCTTGAGCTGAAGAGCTGAG